TTTTTCAGGCTCAAAGATGGGTAAAGAGCAGTTCAACTCAGCAATGGGGAAAGGTCTTAGAATTGTCAAAGTTTCCAAACAGCACTGCTATTGTTTGACACTCCGGTTTGCATGCATAATGATTGTATACATAAAGCAGAAGTATCAGATTTATATAGATGCCCCCCCCCATAGATGTGTGTCTGTGTGTGCGTGCACGTGCCAACTCAAGGATAGGTGGATTGCACTGTAATGTGGTAGAGAAGAAAGGCCAATAGTTTTCCCAAGATTAACTTACACAGTGAAAACAATTGCAGCTTATTGAATCATAATAAATACTACAATGTTTAAATACAGTTAGTTCCACAAAGCAGAATTAAAGAATGTCTGTCAATATTAGTTTTTGGTCAATGTGCCAATTAATATGTTAGCCGTTTTCTTGTTTGTAAATCTTTTAGTACCCACTGCATAATGATTACTTAGTTTAAAAGGGGCCTTGTGAGAGAGTCAACATCAAATACATGTTCATCTAAAGCTGTCTTGCAGCAAATAATAGCAATAATAATAATAGCAATAACAGTAGACTTATATACCGCTTCATAGGCCTTTCAGGCCTCTCTAAGCGGTTTACAGAGTCAGCATATTGCCCCCAACAACAATCCGGGTCCTCATTTTACCCACCTCGGAAGGATGGAAGGCTGAGTCAACNATTCAAAATTATTTGTAATGTAAGTAATTGTAATTTGTTTTTATTGTGTTTGTGTGTGTGTGTGTGAGTGTGTGTGTGTGTTTTACCCGCCTCTGCTGTCGCGCGGGCTGACACATTTATTTTTACTTTTTACTTTTTATTTTTTTAAGCCATGCTTTAAAGTGCCAGCGTGCCGCCCGGCCACAAACCAGGACATGTTTTGCTATATGGCGGGCCAAGGGGGCATGCATTTTAAAGTGCCCACATGCCTTCCAGGCCAGCCAAGTCCTGCTGAATGGCCAGCCCAGAGGGCATGCCGGCACTTTAAAGTGCATGCCGCCTCAGTCTGCCATACAGCGAAACATATGCTGGTTTGTGGCTGGGCGGCATGCACTTTAAAGTGCCAGCATGCCACCCGGCCACAAACCAGGACATGTTTCGTGGTATGGCGGGCCGAGGCGGCATGCACTTTAAAATGCCGGCATGCCTTCCGGGCTGGCCAAGTCCCGCTGAATGGCCGGCTCGGAAGGCATGCCGGCACTTTAAAGTGCATGCTGCCTCGGCTCGCCATACAGCAAAACATGTCCTGGTTTGTGGCCGGGCAGCATACACTTTAAAGAGGTGCTTGAAGGTGGGCAAGAGGAGCTTGGCGGAGGCAGGCGGGGGCGAGACAGAGGGCAAATGGGCAAAGGCCGGGTCAGGCAGGCCGACCAGCGGGGAGGTGTGGCGGGTGCTGAGCACCCCCGAGAAGCTGACGCTCTGGCGCAGGAGGTGCGCGGAGGCGCCCCCATGGCAGCCGAAGATCTGCGCCTTCTCGGGGATGTGGATAAAGTGGCAGCGGGAGCCGTAGGGACACTCACCGTGCAGGTAGAACTTGTGGCACATCCCCATCTTTTACTTGGCGTGGCGGCTGACAGAGCGCAGCTCAGACAAGCCGTGGGCGAACTGGTACTTGGCACCATACTTACAGTGGCCGCTCTAGCTGAAGGTGTGGCACAGCTCCGTCTTGTAGTGGGATGATGGGGCAGGTGCAGCAGGCAGATTGAGCGGTGGGAAGGCCGGCAGTGGGGGCGGCAGCAGCTGGGCAGCCTTGCCTTCGATCAGGCTGACCAAGCGGTCCAGGTGCAGCAGGGGCTGTGGCTGCTCGCCTTTGGGGCTCCAGGGGCTGCGCAGTGACCACACCACCAAGTCCCTGCCACCCCGCAGCACCGCCTCGGAGGAACAGGCCGAGTGGCCGCAGGAGAAGGCGGAGGTGGGCACGTCAAGCTCTTCGCTCAGCAAGAGGTTGATCAGGTTCTGGTAGAGGTTCTGGACGTCCAGAATGGAGCTCATGGTGCCGCCTGCTCGTGCTCCGTTTACCGAAAGCAGCACTGACAACTCCGCTTTCTGGCGCTTTCTTTTGCCCGCCTGTGAGAACTCAGGCAGGAGGGCAAAAGAAAGTGCTTTAGACAGTGGGATGTTGGGGGAGAAGACTGCCTCACCAGCCATAAACCTCGCCGCACGTCACTGGTTCACATCATTGGGATAAAATGTCCTTTTCATTTTTCTGATTTCTTGACTCTCAAACCACCTGAGAGCTCAATGTCCTTCCTTACATCCCTGCTCTGGCACCATCATTTCTGAGTTCTTTCCATCATAAAGTCCTCAGTAAACAAACAAACAAACAAAACCCTTTCCATCACACAAGTGTCTAGTGTACCACAAACCTAAATCACACCAGGCATTAAATCTCTCTGACCATTACTACCAGTCTCTCATGAGTTTACCATTCCTGTCTGGTATGCTGCTATGGTGGAATAGCCATTATTAATCAATTAACTGATGAAAGTTCAGATTTTATGTGGTTTACGGTATGAGAGTAGCTAAACAAAATATTTTCAGTATGATATGCACTCCTGCTGGTTAAAAAAAAAACTCTGCTCACAAATGCATAATCAGCATGTTGTGTGTCTAAAACATTCATTACCTGCCTTAATTCACTTGTATAATGGGTGGGATGAGCTCACCTAAAAATAAATCCAGACAAGATGGAAATGTTGCTGCAAAGAAAAAAGTTGAACCCCAAAGTTCTACTTCCCCAAGAAGAGCAAGTTCATAATAGCAGGGAGGTTGTCACTGGATTTGCAGAGGAATGAGAGGCTTAAAATGGAGCAGCAGCTTCTTAGCTTTGGGGGATAGTATTGCTGTTGTTGTTGTTTTGTTGTTATTGTTAATCTTCAATTCTATTCACAGTCTGTGACTGGTAAAAACTTAACAGTTCAAGGACCTAAGAGCTATTAAAATATTGTCTGAGTATATAGACAGTTCTAAGTAGGGTGGTTTTTTTGAAGTAATTTCCATGTCCCCTAGGCAGTCTTTTGGGCATTGCTCCAAGGTTTCCTATTACTATAGGTATAACTGTTAATTTCTTCCTCTACAATTGCTCAACTTCAATTTGCAAATCGCGATATTTTGGTTGTTTGTCTTTGATACATGCATCACTTGGTATTGCAATATCAATGAATCAGATTTTTCCAGAGTAGTGATGTCAGGCATGTTCTGGGCCAGATTATTATTATTATTTTTCTGCAGCTCCTGGTTTGATTCAGCCTATTTTCAATTTTTTTGTTCTTTTTTCTGCCACCTCAGTTTTTAGAGAGCTATCTTGTTAAGGTCAACTCAATTTTATTGAGGGCAGCATCAGGGCCATGGTGGTTTGAACTCAGGGGGCCGGGTGGGTGTGCGTGACTTGGTGGGCATGGCCAACTGGGTAGGTGTGGCCAGCTGGGTGGGTGTGGCCAGCTTGACCCCCTTCCCCAAACTGCTGGCATTTTCCTCTTCGCATTGGGTAGACCAGGCCAAAGCCACACTGGCTTGATCTCCTCTTCACATTGGATAGACCAGGATGGCCCAGTGAGCCAGATCTGACCACATTGCGAGCCAGATCCAGCCTGCAGGCCTTGAGTTTGACACCCCTGCTTTACATAATTTCTTTCCAACATTCCATTTGTTTAGAAATAGTAACAATCAAGAAAAATGTATAATGCAAAGCAGTAGCATTGTGCATACTCCCATTTCCTGGGAATAAACTCCATTAAGCACTTCTGGGGAAACAGGGCATTTTTAACGAACTATATTGAAAGCAACTACTGGCGCCTCCTAACTTGGAGAACTGTTTGATTGTTGATAGAATCTCTGTATCTTTTGTACATTGCGATGCTGGAGATGCAACAATGAACTTGGTGGCAAGATGTGTTCTACAAGGTTAAACATGTTTGCTAAAGAAATAGGGATTGTAATCTTGTCATCTATGACCTTTGCAAGGCATGGAACGCTGCCAGTAACAAAAATATGATTTCTGAACAATTTTCACATTTGGGAATTCAGCCATTAATCACGATGTGTGTGAATGACTCGATATTGTGTGTGTTTTTTTAAATTGTGGCATTTGATTACTTTCCATGCAGGTTGCTTGCATAAACTGCAGTTATTTGAAGAAAGTCTTATTTTTCTTGCTTAATAGCATTTCACTCCTCCATTTATCTGAAGACTGGAAGAAAGTTACCAAGGCAGAGTGTCTGTGTATTTTAAACTGGTTGACCGGCCCTGCTGAATACACACAGTATATCAGTGGTGTGCTTGTATAACCTTTATTCAGCTTTCAAGCAGCTTGAACCCTGGAATTGATGAATTGAGCCCCCTGAGACCCAAACTGGCTGACATTGCGTTTTTAAAGTAGATAAATTATATCTATCAATTCTGTGTCAAGTTTGCTTCTCATCTCTTTTCATGACCTGTACATAAAGAGAGAAACAATTTCCCACAATATAGCATAGTAGCTATTTTAAAATAATTCGGAAACTATTTCTCTCTTACGTGAAGTTAAATAGAACACTTTGCTTTTGAAATGTTTGCTTCTCTCTTTAAATATTTCTTTAAGTGATAAACTTTTACCTCAAAGCTGGACCACTGATTTTGAAAATGATAATGTTTCCTCCCAAGGGACACAATGGCTCAATGGCCAACACACTGAGCTTGTTGATCAAAAGGTCAGCAGGTTGGCAGTTCGAATCCCTAGCACTGCGTAACAGAGTGAGCTCCAGTTATTTGTCCCAGCTTCTGCCAACCTAGCAGTTCGAAACATGTAAAAATGCAAGTAGAAAAATAGGGACCACTTTGGTGGGAAGGTAACAGCATTCCATGCACCTTCGGTGTTTAGTCATGCTGGCCACAAGACCAAGGAGATGTCTTTCGACAGCACTGGCTCTTTGGCTTTGAAACGGAGATGAGCCCTAGAGTTGGAAATGACTAGCACATATAGTTATGTGCAAGGGGAACCTTTACCTTTATCTTAATGTTTCCTCCAGAATTTGCAATTAAANAACTGAATTCCCAGAAAAAAAGTCCCACTGGGAATAATTCATGTAAATGCCTGGAATGTGGGAAGAGCTTCCGCATTGCAAGTGCCCTCACTTGCACAGAGTGTGGAAAGAGCTTCATTAATAACTGTCACCTTATTTACCATAGAAGGATCCATACAGGGGGAAAGCCATATCATTGCACTGTGTGCGGAAAGAGCTTTGCACAAAAAGGCAATTTTAATTTACATAACAGGATCCACACGGGAGAGAAACCCTATAAATGTTTGGAGTGTGGAAAAAGCTTCAACAGACGTGATACTCTAAACTTACACAATAGGATGCATAAAGGGGAAAAACCTTATAAATGCCTGCACTGTGAAAAGAGCTTTTATCAAAAAGGTCATTTTAAATTACATGAGAGGATGCACACGGGAGAAAAACCATTTCAATGCATGGAGTGTGGAAAGACCTTCTATTGCTCGGCACATCTTACTGCACATCACAGAATCCACACAGGGGAGAAGCCCTTTCAATGCTTGCAATGTGGAAAGTGCTTTGCCAGTTCTGGTGGCTTTCGTGCCCACGAACAGACCCACACAGGGGAGAAACCTTATAAATGCCTGGAGTGTGGAAAGAGCTTTGGTAATTCCTACCATTTAACGTTACATAGGAGAATCCACAGTGGAGAGAAACCATATCAATGCTTTGAGTGTGGGAAGCACTTCAGTCAAACAAGTAACCTTAATATGCACAAAAGGATCCACACGGGGGAAAAGCCTTATAAATGCACCGAATGTGACAAATGTTTCACCCGTTCGTGGTCCCTCACTTCCCACAAAAGGCTCCACACTGGGGAGAAACCATATGAATGCCGCACATGTGGAAAGTGCTACAATACAAAAACTGACTGTATCGTACATAGTAGAACCCACACTGGGGAGAAGCCATATCAGTGCCAAGAGTGTGGAAAATGCTTCAGTGATTCTGGAAAACTGACGATCCATAAAAGGATTCATACAGGGGAGAAACCCTTTAAGTGCATGGAGTGTGGCAAGAGTTTTAGAAAAAGTAGTTATCTTGATATCCACAAGAGGATCCACACTGGGGAGAAACCATACACCTGTAATGAGTGCGGAAAAAGCTTTACAAGCGATAATTCACTCAGAAACCATAAAAGGATTCACTCAGGGCAGAAACCCTATAAATGCCTGGAGTGTGGAAAATGTTTTAGTGTGAGTGGCCATCTTACTTACCACAATAGGCTCCACACAGGAGAGAAGCCGTTTAAATGCATTGAGTGTGGAAAGAGTTTCCGAGCTGGCAGCAGTTTTAGACTCCATAATAGAATCCACACAGGGGAGAAGCCATATGAGTGTGTGGAGTGTGGAAAGAAATTCAGAACTGGGGGTGACTTTAATCGGCATAAGAAAACGCATAGCAGGAAAAGATGACACTAATGGTTTCGTATTGATTTTCAAAATTTGCTTCATCCCCATAGAAGTGTCCACAGGAGAATCTGTAGAAATACTTGGCAAATGGGAAGGGCTTCCAAAGCAACAGAAGCTTTTTGACCCATTAAAAATAAGTGTTGCCTTATATATTTAAGTCATGCCAGAAGAGAGGTTACTGCTGGTTCGGCCCGGTTCAGCCGAACAGGTAGTGGAATTCAGGCCTGGGTCACAGAACCGGCAGCGACCGAGGCCTGCCTGAACCAGTTCCCTCACTGCTGCTTGGCTGCTGCCATTTTGGATTTTAGTGACACTGTGTGCGTAGTTTACTGTAAACTTTTTGGTGTATGCGCGCAGAACAGTTTACATTGAACACGGCATGCAGTTTGCACGCAGGTTGCAAACCAGCAGTAACACCGGCAGCAAGCCACCCCTGTGCCAGAACAAAGAGAAAAAGGATCTTCAGTGAGCACTTCACTGGGAGAAAGAGACGCAAAAGAATGAACCATTGAACCAATACAAGACTCAAGTTTTTTTTTGTCAAAAATAAACACTGGACGGTTGGTGTTGTGTCTGCACCGTCTAAAATTGGTTGGGTTCAACTGATTTCTAGTTGAGATACGATATTGATTGTGTTTGTTTTCTGTTAATACCCTAACTTGTACAGTAGCTAAAGGCTTAGCTTACACATCTCAGATATGTTGGCTCAGGAATTCTGGAAGTTGAAGCCCATAAGTATAAAAGGCCCAAGGTTCACCATTCCTGGTCTAAATAGAAGGATCCTTGGAGATTCAATTAACAGGTTAAACTTAGAATAAAGTTGGAAGTGCTTCAGTTTGTTAAACCAGAACCCCAGATATACTAAGGAACAAGACAAGAGGTACAAATAGGAAAGATTTTCACCTGTACACCTCTAAAAAGAAGAAGCATGCTATTAGAAAAATAGGAAGTATCATGGAAAAGTACTGCTGAAGCAACATTTATGAAAGCATTGAGGTTACTCTGTGTACATGTTAGGATAGCTTTAAATAACTTGGCTGGGCTTTGTATTATGTACAGTAAATGTAAATGTAAAGGTTCCCCTCGCACAGATGTATTAGTCATTAACGACTCTAGAGGGCGGTGTTAATCTCCATTTCAAAGCCGAAGAACCAGCACTGTCTGAAGACGTCTCCATGGTTATATAGCTAGCATGACTACATGGCGAAGGTACACGGAACATTGTTACTTTCCCACCAAAGGTGGTTCCTGTTTTTCTACTTGCATTTTTACATGCTTTCGAACTGCTAGGTTGGCAGAAGCTGGGACAAGTAATGGGAGCTCACTCCATACACAGCGCTAGGGATTCGAACTGCCGACCTTTCTGATTGACAAGCTCAGCATTTTAGCCACTGAGCCTCCGTGTCACGTTTGTATTATGTACACTATGGCTAAAATCTTAGTGTAAAACAGGCAGGAATTACTGTAAAGGGTGTTGAGGAAATACCTTCTGACTTGTAAACTGTGGGAAATGCTCTGTAAAACCCATTGGTGGACATTGGTGGGATAAACAGGCTTTGAGAGAAATCTTTGTGCATCACTTTTTCTGCAGAATAAAGCTTTTGCTTACAATCTCCACCTCAGTGTGTTAAATTTGAGCTCTTCTGGCAACGTGGCTGGAGCAGGAATGGAAAGGAAAACCAAAAGTCCTTTTGAGTCCAGAAGGAGCTCCTTCCTTCTTTTAACCAGATGGCAAGAGCAATTCTTGAGGAGGAAATAGGGAATATACCAGGAACCCTCTCTCTGCAAACTTCAAGCATGTTCCGTTAGGCTTGGAGCTGTTTTACTATAGGAGAAATTCTTTTGTACTGTGTAGTGTAGTTTTTCTTCTGAATGTTAATACACTGTTAAATGTATTAAATATTTCTCAACTTTTAAATATTGAAATATTAAATATTTCCTAGCTTCAGCTTCAAAATGGAATGGTTAATGGGGTGCTTTTATGGAGTATTAGGAGGGTCTTTTGATTCTGCATTTATTAGGGATAATATTAGAAAAAAGCTGTTTCTATGCCCCCACCTTTTATTTAAAGATTTATTCTCCTCTTTTGGAGCACGGGAGAAATCTCTAAGTTGTATTGCTCTCAGATATGCCCTGCCAACACTTCAAATATTATTTTGCTGCATTTGAAACATAGAATAACAGAGTTGAAAGGGACCTTGGAGGTCTTCTAGTCCAAATCCCTGCTTATACCATTTCAGACAGATGGCTGTCCAGTCCCTTAAATTTTAAACGCCTCCAGTGATGGAGCACCTACAACTTCTGGAGGCAAGTTGTTCGACTGTCAGGAAATAGTGGAGGAGAATCAGATTTGCAACTCTCTTAATAAAAGTAGTTTTAACTGTCCTACAGAGTTGATTTCCTGGTCTGGTCTACTCATGACAGGCATCTTGGACACTTGAGTTAAAAGTGCTGGCACGCAATTTGGAACTGGTTGGGATTTAGAACTAAGCTAGCAGTCCAGTGTTTCTCAACCTTGTCATCTTGAAGATGGGTGGATTTCAACTCCCAGATTTCCCCTCCAGCAATGCTTCATGTTGCCAAAGTGCGGAAATACTACTTCAGTAAGTTCCTGCACTATCAAACACACATTGAGACAACAGCTGTGCAACAGCTTTCTGATTTTCATACTCTTTTCTTATTTTCTTCCTTCTGAGCCAAAAGTCCCTATTTTTTTTCTTGGTCACTTGTTGCTCACGTTGGAAGAAGAACTTGAGGTTCATCTCCTAACCAAGTCTCCTTTCTTTCAAGATTCTCCTGTGGGTGGACTTTGATTTCCAGGACCCAAAACTGAAGCTGAATGAGATAGGCCAAACTCTGGATGCGGACTCATATTTCCTGCTCCTGGCCTCCTCTCCAGTGGTGCATTCAAAAATTTTAGCAACCGATTCTCTGCCCGGTTGCTGGGTGGGTGTGGCCTACTCAATCTCCTGCACCACAGAGTGTGTGTGTGTGTGTGTGTGTGTGTGTGTGTGTTTTCACCTTTCTCAGGCTCCAGAGGCTTTACTTGAGCCTCTGGTAGGGGGAAAATGGCCTCCCCGGGCTCCAGAGGCCCTTTCCAGACTTCTGGAACTTCCAGGAAGCCAGTTTTATGCCCTCCCAGAGCCTCTGCATGGGCCATGCATCCAAAATGAGCACCTGTGGAAACTCCTGGCAGGGGAGGGGTGGGCATGGCCAGCCAGTCCTTGCAACTACCAGTTCGGCAATCCATATGTAAAATTAGCATTCGGTTCACCCAAACCAGTCCAAACCGGCTGAATCTCATCCCTGTCCCTCTCCAAGGGGCCAACCCACCATATTCCCTCTTTGCAACAAGCTCTGGGAAAATTTCAAGAGTCTGAAGCTACCAGGCTGCCAGGACTTCTGAGGTTGGAAGAGGGAGCCCCCTAGTGGCTCTTGCTAACAAATGCCAAAAAATTGTGCTGGAGTATTGCATGTGTGTGTGAAGTGCAATAAGGAGAAACAACCCTTTTATTTCTCGTTTCTCACAATCAAAAAATGGCAACTAAGGAAATGCCAGGTATATCATTATCATAAGGAAAATTGTTAATGCTTGGTAAGATGAATATAGATGAATGATTTTGCAATACCAGCTAATCAGGTTTGTGTGTTTATTCACTTATTTATAGGCCACCTTTGTTATTTTTACAAATAACTCAACGTGGCACACCTATCCAACACACTTTCCTCCTGTTTTCATCACAACAACTATCTAGTGAGGTGAGGTGGGCTGAGAGAGTGTGATTGGCCCAAGGTCATGCAGCTGGCTTTCATGGCTAATGTGGGACTTGAATTCACAAGATTTTTTTTTTGCTGAAAACGTCTGGAGGCAAGCTGTTCCACTGATTAATTGTTCTCACAATCAGGACATTTCTTCATAGTTCTAAGTTGCTTCTCTCTTTGTTTAGTTTCCATTCATTATTTCTTGTCCTGCCATCAGATGCTTTGGAGAATAGCTTGAGTCCCTCTTCTTTGTGGTAACCCCATAAATATTGGAATGCTGCTATCATGTCATTCCCTAGTTCTTCTTTTCATTTAACAAAACATACACAATCCTTGAAAAAGTTCTTTGCATGTTTTAGCCTCCAGTCCCCTAATCATATTTGTTGTTCTTCTCTGCATTTCTAGAGTCTTAACATCTTATTTATATCATGGTAACTAAAACTGGATGCATTATTCCAAGTGTGATCTTACTAAGACATTATAAAGTTATACTATAGTAATTGTTCAGCTTTCCGGTAAAGGATTCCTTTATATATATAATCACCTAGAAAAGCAGCCAGAGAGACAGACTGAAAAATAATTAATGAACTAAAACTTTCATGGGAATTATACTGTTAAGAAAATCAGTTTCCCATTTCATTTTTCAATATTAGCTTCTCTTTTGTATTTAGATCTGGTCTTAGTAAAATAATGTAGCACTTGGGGAGGAAGATACATCCCAGCAGTCCAGCACTGGAAGCCAAGATGGAGAAGACCTGCACGGCCACCATATACTTTCCCTTGGTGCTCAAGTAGGTGGGTACAAAGGATATCCAGACGCTGCAGAAGACCAGCATGCTGAAAGTGATCAACTTGGCTTCGTTGAAGGCCCCTGGGAGGTTCCTAGCTAGGAAAGCCACCATGAAACAAATGGTGGCCAGGAAGCCCATGTAGGTGAGAGCAATGTAAAACATAACAGTGGAGCCTTCATTGCACTGCAGAATGATCTCCCCAGACTGTGAATGCATGTCGGAATCAGGGAACGGGGGAAATACTCCTAACCAGATGGAAGAAAGGATGACCTGGATGCTAGAACAGGAAAGGAGGATGGAATTGGCCAAACTTTTCCCTAACCATCTCCTCACTCTGTTCCCTGGCTTTGTGGCTAGGAAGGCCAGCACCACCATGATTGTTTTGGCCAAGACAGAAGAGACAGCAACTGAGAAAATGATGCTGAAGACTGTTTGTCGAAGAAGGCAAGTGGCTCTCCTTGGCCGACCAATGAAAAGGAAGGAAGTGCAGAAAGAAAGCAGTAGGGAGACCAGGAGAACATAGGAGAGATCCTGGTTGTTGGCCTTGATAATGGGAGTTTCTCGGTATTTACTGAAGATTCCCAAAACAAAACTTGAGGTCAAGATTAGGAAGAGGGCAAAGGAGGTAAGGATGACCCCCAAATTCTCCTGATATGACAAGAAGGTGATGATTTTGGGGATACATTGATCTCGGTTCTTGTTCTGATGTTGATCTTCTGGACATTTGCTGCAGTGGTCTGCATCTGAAAAGGACAAATGTAACATCTTCCATACATGAACATAGTGGGAATTATAATTTATAGTACAGGAGTCATATTTTGAACACAGAAAACTCAAACCTAACACTTTGTGTGTCGGTTTGCATGGGAGAGGAGGAGAGGAGGAGTTATGAGTGCATATTGGTGTATGTGCTTGCCTGCACAAGTAAGTCGCCAAAGCTGATAAAGAGAGAAAGGGTAGCTGGGTGAAGAACGGGCAGAGTTTGAAGCAAGACATGCTTTGTTTCCAAGAAATCTTGTTTTCTGGAGGCTTTTCCTGCCTTGTTCCTTCTCTGAAGGAATGTTGAGAACACAAGGTGAGAAGTTAGATGCTATCCACATGGTGTTCAAAAAACAACCTACATTTAAACACTAGCAAGACAAAGGAGATGGTGCTGGATTTCCAGAAGCACAGAAAGGAGCCTTCCTCACTGTATATCAAGTGGGGCTATATGGAGAGGTTTTCCTCTTTTAAATTCTTGGGAGTTCTCATTAGACAAGACCTCACCTGGAAAAACAACACGTCCCTGGTGATTACAGAGAGTTCATTTTCTGTGGAAAAAATCAGGTGGAACAATGGCTGATGACCTCTTTCTATCAGTTTATGATAGAAAGTATCCTGACATACTGTGTAACAGTATGGTACTGTTCTGACCGAGGCTTCCCAAGAGCATTAAACAAACTTCTTATCCCTTAACACTTTTATTAATTTACAGTGAATTCTGCTCATTCACAACAGCAAAGTCTTTCAAAGGAGGATTTATGGTCACAAACCTTATCTGGCTTGGAGAGCTGACAGGTCAATATTTGCAGAACTTGGAAAGGAGTCTTGGAGAGTCACTAAGAAATTAGCGAACAAATTGTCTCCTGCAAACTCCACTCCCCTTTCGCTCCTCTTTTATTTCCTCTGGGAGGGGCCATTTATTGTCTGGCTTTACTCTCAAGTTGACCCCTCCTCTTTAGTTGTTCCCTTCATCTGGCAACTCTGTGCATGTGCACCCTGGGACCAGGATTCAGCTGTTCGTATGCCTCACTGATGTCTGACTCTGAAGGCAGCTGATAACTGGCATACGGCTCTAGCCCTCTCTCTGCCTCTGACACAGAGCCCTCATCAGAGCCTTCCCCAGACTCCAGGACTGACCCATGTTCCTCCCCAACCTCCTCACTGTCCGAATTTGCTGCCAGCTGTGCTGCCCTGGCAGACCACAACAGGTACATTGGTTCAACAGCTGTGGATAGGAAGGTACTACAGAGAGTGATTAATTCGGTACAAGAAACCATTGGTTTTCCCCTAACACCACTGGATGACATTGCCAGGTCTCATTGTTTCAGCAGAGTAAGGAAGATACTTAGGGATGGTTCACATCCTGTTCCGTGTCTTTTCTCACTATTACCCTCAGGCAGAAGACACAGAAGTATAGCAAGCCGGACAAACAGGTTTAAAAACAGCTTTTATCCATGGGCTGTCAGACTCCTAAATACAACTACAATCACTCCATGCATACATGGAAACATATGACTGTTTTCCACCTAATTACCATATTTTTCAGACTATAAGACGCACCGATGTGTAAGATGCACCAAGATTTCAAAGAGGTAAGCAAGAAAAAAAGGTTTTGCCTTTCCTCAGCTCCCAGCAATGCTCTGCAGGCTTCAGCAGGGCTGGGGCAAGGCAAAACGCCCTGCTAAAGCTTTCAGAGTGCTGCTGGGGGCTGAGGGAAGGCAAAAAAGCCTTCATTTTTCATAAAATGGGACGTGGGGAGGGGCTTCGGGAGGCCAAAAATGGCTGTATTCGGTGCATAAGACGCACCGACATTTCCACGCTCTTTTAGGGGGGAAAAGGTGTATCTTATACTCCAAAAAATACGGTACTAGTTTAAGGATCATTTTCTATATTATTCCTGTTGTCTTGTATTTTTGTTATGGATTGCACCAGTAGAGGCTAAATCAATTTCGTTGTATATATGTACAATGACAATAAAGGTTATTATTAAGTTTAATATAGGAAGAGGGAGAAAAGAGAGGAAAAATATCTCAATGAAAAAAAAGCTACATAGAAAAGATCTCTAGGAACTTTTGCTCCTTTCCCAAAGTCTACCTTGACTCTTAAGTCACCCACCTTCTTGAGTGGAGATGCTCCCTTCTGCACAGGGGATGCAGTCATAACAGCAACTTGGTTTTCCCTCCTGGACCACCTTGAAGTATCCGGGTTGACAAGCCTCCACACACCGAGAGTATGGCCAGGGCTGAAAATGAAGAGAATTGTCATTTAGAACATCTGCACAACTGATCACTTATGAAATGAGACGTAGAGTTGGAAGGGGATTGACAAAATAGGCAGGGGTGGGCTTCAATTTTTTTTAGCAAGGGTTCTCTGCCCAGTTGCTGGGTGGACGTGGCCATGATGGGCATGGCTTAGTCAGTCTCCTGCACCGTGTGTGTGTGTGTGTGTGTGTGGTGCTTTTGCCCTCCCCGGGCTCCAGAGGCTTACCTCAAGCCTCCAGGAGGGTGAAAACGGCTTCCCCAGGCTCTGAAGGCCCTCTGGAGTCTGGAAATGAGCCTGTTTCCAGTCTTCCTGAACTTCTAGTAGGCCCATTTTTCATTCTCCCTGAGCCTCTGTATGCACCTGGCACTTATCTGCATCCAAAACGGGCCTCATGGGGACTCCTTGGAGGGGAGGGGAAGGGTGGGCAGGGCCAGCTAGAAGTGGGATTTGGGAGTTCTCCGAACTGCACATAATCTTAGCTAGAAGTTCTTCCAAACCTCTGTGAACCCCCAGCTGCCCAACCCTGAAAATACAAACCAGCCATGGTGGAGCAGTGGTTAGAATGCAGTATTATAGTCTAACTCTGCCACACAGTCAGGAGTTCGATCCTGGGGGGGGGGGGGCTGAGGTTGACTCAGACATCCATCCTTCGAAGATTGATAAAATGAGGACCTAGATTTTGGGGAGCAAAATGCTGATGTTGTAAATTGCCCAGAGAGTGCTGTAAAGCACAATGGTGTGATATATAAATTTGAGTGCTATTACTAGGTTGAGCAAAATCAACCATTCCAGAAATGCAATATTCTAGAAAACTCTGGAAGATTCATTTCTCCTTAAAATATCATGCTGACCATTCCAGGGTTGGCC